TTTTCATTGTTTCCATTTTCTTAGAATAAAAAATTCAGAAATGATAGAAAAATTAAAATTGTTTTTTGGTGCGGAGTAAGAAGTTAAGTTGCACTAGAAATTAGGAAGTAATTGAATTATATCCAAGTACAGCAAATGGTTTCGACGACCTTTTCTTAAAAAGAAGAATTAAAGGAGGAAACGTCTTAAGAGATTTCAAACTGGTCGGTTTAAAAAGAAGTCCGCTCTTTCAATTTTAATGGCTTGACACTTTCTAAAATTGTAGTGGAATTGCTAAGGTTCCCCATTTTCTTTCAAACTAAGCATCGTTTTCATGTGTCAGAGGTACGTTTCAATACTACCTTACAAGAGGCTTGAAGACCACTCGTGACTTCCCCTCTAACCCTGTTTCATGAACTCTTTTTACATAATCCTTTCTAGTTTAATCAACACCGTCTTACAAAAGTTTAATTCAAATTTTTTTTTAACCTCCTCTTTTAGAATTTTCCTTTTGTTATCTCTGAGAGAAATTTCACTGTCAAGGCACTTTGTAGAGTAACGTATTTCTTCTATAAACTAAGCGTAAACTTTTTGAGAGTGAATGAAAGTTATTGAGCAGAATAGTTGGTCTGTATTGAAATCTGCTGCTTATGACAAATGGTTTATGAAGCGTCAGCTTAGTCAGATTATTAAAACCCAGCTCATTTTTGTTGCCAGATGCATTTATTCCAAAGCACGAGACGCAGAGTCTATATTCCACCGTTTTCAGGCATTATTTATCAGATTCTGGATCGACTTCACTTCGCTTCACCCACCCGGAGGTCAAAAAAAGCAAGAGTACTATTGTAAAAGACTTTAACATGATACAAAAGGCTTTGTCAGTAGCAGCTGGTGCTAAGGTTTGTATTTTTAATAAGGAAGATTTTTTTTACCACCTTATTCATTTGTCCTCATTAACAATTCTTAAAATAATTGAAGATTGATCGTCGAGGAAAAAAATGAATGTCTTTGGTTTCCTTCTGTAAGCGGGAAACAACAATCTCTTCCTGAATACGTGACTAACGTGTTTTCAACGGTTCTAAAAGATTGTTTGCATCGAAGCATCACCTCACCAGAAAACATAATTCCGGCTATTTTTCATCGAAAGACGAAACTTAAAACAGAACGATATGATTGGAGTGTTTGTTTTTGCGGCAATAAATGTCCTTGTCAGGGTTCGTTAACACGTTTCAGTCACTTCCATGGAAAGGTAAACACTTGCTTAATTGTCCTGAATTAAGACGATTTAGTGTAATTGAAAAGTGGCGACCATCTCAAACGCACCAATATTTGTGTACCTGATGAGAAGTCTCCGTTAGAAAACGCGACAAAGGAACTACAAAACGTTTATCAGCAAACAAAATTATCGGTCTGGTTACGAACTCTAGCTGTACAATTTTCACTCGATGTAAGGACTTTAAAAATCAGTGTATAGCTTGAAAAACCTGGAAATGGATGCTTATGAATTATTTCTTCTGATGGTGGTGTCTCTAACTGTAAATAGTGTGCGAGCTGATGTAAGCTTTAACGGCAAAGGATTTCAGGTTTTTCATACAAATTTTCCTAAGGAGCATGAGGAAAGGTACGAAGTTAAGATGTGGTTTCGGACAACGCAGCGTTCTGAAATGGCCTTGCTAATGATTCAAAATGGCGTCGGTTCGACAGCGTTGGTTGAGATGTACGACGGAAGGTTACGGTAAGTTTTTTAAAGAATTTTGTTTAAATTGATTTGCTAGTTCTTGAACAAGATAAAAGCTTAAACTATAATCTTTAAGACAAATGACATTAGCAAAAATTCAATTTGAACTTTCACCCGGGAGTAGCAGGTTAGAATGTGAGGTCTGTGTTCCTCAACATGCAATTTAGTAAAAATAAACTTTTTACATGCGATTTTTACAAATTGATATGGATGGATTGTTCCAAATATATATGTTGCGTGCGCATTCATACAAGAACCTTTGAGTGACTGCAAGTACGCTTTTACGCTTTCCTTCATTTCCAGCTGTACAAAGATTGGTAACTAATGAGGTTATGGGCGATCATGAAACTACGCAGAAAATGAAATGATAATGAATACTTTAAAAAGTTCAGAGAGACAGATCGTTATTTATAGAAACTGTCAGAGGTCCAGTCGAAGCGATCAAACGCGTGCGCATGCGTGAATTCCTACGCGGGTGACTGACGGGTGATCCACAACTTCTTGGGAGCAAGATTCTCACAATTTGTCGATTGTAAATGTATCGGAAATCAAGTAGTTTTTTTTTTCAGACTTTACCTTCAAACAAGGGGATAACTGTTTGGAAAATAAAATTTCGATTGTATTTTACAAATTGGCCATGGAGCGATTTCCCATATTGAAGGCGTAATTGACCATATAAAGACCTCATGTCAAACTAGTATTTAATTAGCTTTGCGCAGTGGCATTACCGTAGCCAGTGAGGTTCATCCGAGGCGCGGTTATTGCTGATTGAAAACTTTTCCC